GGGCGTCTACTACGCGCTCGCGGGCGGCGGCCCGCAGACCTCGGGCGACTTCCTGACCGGCGGCCGCAGCCTGGGCGCCGGGCCCGTGGCGCTGTCCCTCACCGCCAGCTTCATGTCGGCCGTCAGCGTCCTGGGCACCCCCGCCGAGGTCTACCGCTTCGGCGCCGTCTTCGGCGTCTTCGGCCTCGCCTACCTCCTGATGGTGGTGCTCAGCGCGGAGGTCTTCCTGCCGGTGTTCTACAAGCTGGGCGTCACCAGCACCTACGAGGTGAGGGCCGCGCCGGCGGGCTGCGCGCCCCGGGCGGTTCTTGGCGCGCGGTCGCGGCCACGGGAAGCCTCTTCTCCCGGCCCTGCTTCTGGCGGAGAAACGTCCCGGCCCCGCTCTCCCCGGCTCAGTGACAGAAGGGGCCTCCGGGCCAGCGGAGCGACTGCCCTGGTGCTGGCCGGGCTCCTTTCTGCCGTTGACACCCTCGGTTCCCTGGCACGGGGGGAGGTTTCAAGGCTTCTACTTCGCGGAAGGGTTAGTCATTCGAGGTCAGCGACTCCTTCCTGAAAGGCCTCCCCTTGCTCCAGGTCCCCAACGCCATTGCTTTTCCGGGACGGTTGGTGAGGAATTCGCACCACCTCCCTCCGCGCCACACGTCCCTTCTAGGGGCGGGCGCCCCGGGGTCACGGGCTGGGTCTCTGGTCCTGACACCTGCTCTGAGACAAGACTGTTGCTTTCTCGGTGGGTGTCCTGGGGCCGCTTTATGCCTGTTTCCTCGTCTCAAAGAGAAAACGGCACATTCTGGGGCAACGAACAGTCAGGACATTGCGTCTTCCCCCCCCTCCCCCCCGTCTGGCTTCTTTGTCATCCTCCCCTGGGAGCATATCCTCTCCCCATGCTGCTCTCTGCGGGACATGTGCATATTCCTGTCACAAGTCATGGAGTTAAGGAGTCAGGAGCAACGGAAAGACAGTTTAGTCGGCACTCTTAATCAGTGTGACTGCAAACACTGTATAGGAATTTGAATGATTGACTTGCTTGATTATAAAACTGCTTGATGCACTGTCCCGAGGCTCAGATTCTTTCGTGATCACCGACCTCCTGCCATAAGTGACCTCTTGTATGTGTAATAAACCAATATCACTCCCTGCTGGACCTCTGGGTGGCTTCTCTGGAATAGGCAATCATTACGTGCACACCCTCTCAGATGTGGGGTGATTGCGTTGCAACCACCTACCTCGTCCCGTTGTTGAGAGGATTAAATGAGATGATGCCGGTGTGGCATTTAGAACAGTGCCTGGCATAGAATGGGTAAACGTTGGCCACAGTCATTGTGGTGGTGCTGGTGGTGATGGTGGTTATCTGGGTGGCAAAGTTCTCAAACAGCCCTGCCTTCTCTGTGGAAAGGTAATTAAGGAAAGCAACCTTCCTCTCTTGCCCAGGTTCCCTGGTTACAGGTTTTCTAAGGTGCCTGCAGGAAAGGGCTTTGCAAAGATGATTATTGCTTTGGTTGAGTTAAAAGAGCTGCTGAAGGAGAGTGTATGGGGAAGATAAGGGCCCAGGCCAGTACCCTTGGTGGGCTCCTTCCCAGACACTAATCCATGAGCCCCTGGGCCAAGCCCGCAAGTTTCTTCTCTAATCAGGCTCCAATCCAGGGCCTCTGGAAGGTGGCTTCCTAGTGGGGCTGGTTCAACTGGTGCTGGGGACATAGCCCCAGTGGAAAAACAAGTGTTGGTGACAAACTCTGCCTGGGCTCTGCCCGGGTGTCTTCCAGGGTGAGGCACTCCTCGGGTGGCGTGGTCTTCCACTCCTTTTGGTCACTGTGTTTGGGAGAGCTCAGATGACACCCCAGAAGAGAGCAGGATGGAATTTCTGTTATGCTCAGAGGTGGCAGACTGGCTGCCCTAGGCCAAATTCAGTACTCAGTCATTTTTTTTAACGCTTATAGTGAGGGGAAGCCAAATATAGAGGGTTCTGAAAAAAATGTATACACATTTTACATATAATGTTTGCTCAAAAAATGGCATTAATCAAATAAATGCTAGCATCACCCTACGACAGGCAGGATAGTCAAAGAAAATGACAGAAGCATGGTTGAACAAATGTCATTCTACCCATTGCTGCCATAATTGAAATCAACTTTGGAAAGTAATAAATACATAGATACCCTCTCTTAAAATGTGTATACATTTTTTGTCATCCCTGGTATAATTCCAGATTCAAATTTCTTTTGAAGGCTCAAAAGACTGGTGACACTGGGCTCACTTTCCCTGCAGCCACAGGAGCTCTGGTGACACTTAGTCCATGTTCCTTGTGGCCATAGGAGCTCTTGTGACACTGGACCTACATTCCCTGTGGCCACAGGAGCTGTGGTTCACAGCCGTCTATCATATTGGAATCTTGTCATTGTATTTGGATGGCAACTTTCTTATGGTGGAGAAATTTTTATCTACATTTATGTCTTTATGAAAACTCTGACAGGAAAGATGGGCAGGGTGAAGGAAGTTCTTGTTTCCAGGGAGATTTGAGAGAACATACTTCTTAGTGGATGTGGGGAATATTCCAGCATGTTATTATATGAACACCTGGCCAATGTCACACGTGTGTTACCTGATGGGACCTGCAGGCAGCTGAGTCTGTGAGCTCTGATCTGTGCTTAACCAACTCCAAAACTTGGAAAAGGTTGAAGAATCTGGCAAGAGCACTTCAGTCTCCACAGATGAATGCTGCTCTCATAATCATTGACCCGTGTCTCTTCGAGGCTGCAATACTAGCTCAACCAGAAACAAAATTCCCACATGTTCACAGTGGTGGAGGCCAGGTGAGCAAGGGTTCCAGCAGAAAATAGCAAAAAGCTAGTGCTCACTGGATGCTTCGTACATGCTGGGCACTGGCTGCATCGTTTACATGCAGTCATTCTGCATCTCAGCATTCAGAACCGTCCTTACGAGGGAGATGTTGCTGGGGCCCATTTTATAGACAAAGAGACTCAAGAGCAAGTTAAGCTGAGAGAGTGAAGCAGGGTAGACACACGCCTACCAACATAGACTGCTTCTGAAGGCTCTAGTGAGACTGTTACAGCCCCAAGCAGGACTTGTAGCTGTGCAGGCAGGACACGGGAAGCAATAAGACCATATGCAGTTGTGGCCTCACTGTGTCCACCACTGGAAGGCCCCGACAGTCCTTGACAGGAAATTTAGGAGGTATGCTAAACCCTGCTACCTGGTCATGGCACAGGTTTTCTTTGGGAATATTTTGTTATTTTATGCTAAGCGTCAGAGCCACTTACACAGAACATGCGGTACAGCCCCGAGTGATAGGTAGTACCCTGGCATCTTAACCAAGTATGAAATCCTCCTCATTTATATTTTTCTAGCCAAAACTGACTATTTACAAGCATTTTTTTCTATCTTCTATCATTTGTCCCTTCAAAAGTTGGCCTGACAGGTGTTTAGCAGCTTCCAGATCCACAGACTGGCAAGAAGGTTAATGCAGGAAACTAGTGTGGTTCATCATTTCTTCAGGATCTTTCTGGACTCAGCTAAATTTGCATTTTAACTGAGTTGCTCATGCCCTGTTTTGTAGTTTGTTTTACTTAAAGTTTTCCCATCAACAGAAGTCTTTGTATTGCTCAGCTATTCAGGGTTCTGAGGACCATGAGAGATCTTGTTTGACTGTAGGCATCCATTGCTATTCTGTAGTCTTGGCTGGAAATCCTGAAGCTGTTCTATAAGCCTACTGCAGGGACGTGGGCTGCTGGTTAGTTCTCCAGACATTTCTTCAGTAGCCTAGTAACTGATGACTGAGACAGTGATAGTCTTCTTGGTTCTGTCTTGAGTTGGGGCTTGTGTGAGCTTAAACTGTACGTTTTCCTGGATTAGTTGATCTAGGGGAAAATTCTCTCTCTCTCTCTCTCTCTCTCTGTATATATATATATATATATATATATATATATTTTTTTTTTTTTTTTTTAAGTTATTTGGTTCAATTTGCTACATGCTACATTCTTACCATGCTTAGCAACTCAGTTCTCATTTTTCTGTTAAGTTTTATTTATTCTCCAACAATTTGGACACACACATGTATCTAGTAAAGGTAAAGACTTCTCTGTCTATTCATGTCCATTCATGTATTTAGTGGTGTATAGAGGGTTAGTTAAAGAACATTGAATAAATAACACTGCCCTGTTTCCAGAATTCAGAAACTTCTCCAGACTTCTAAAAAGTTTTTCAAAATATACTTTAATGATTTTGGCACATGTACTTCATGGAGATTCATATTTTTCAGGGCCTACGGATTTGGATAGTATTAGCTTCCTAATGTCTTACTTTTGAATGAAGTGTTTTTGTCTTCCCATTCATTTATATTATTGGATAGTCTCTAAAACTCTATAGAGTAAGAGGGGAAAGAATGATTATAATGCTTCTCATTTCAGAGAGAAGGAGGAGCCTGTGATTTGGAGAGTAATTGCCTTAAGCTCATAGAGTCTGGGTGAGACTGGGCCAAGGGCTGGAGCTCTTCCTCCAGTGTGTTACACTGCACTGTGTATTTTCACTGGAGGTGATTTTTTGAGGTCATACTGTGTGTCAGTGTTGCTCACTCACTTATTGAGTCTTAAACACAGGGCCAAACTGTTTACACACATATGTGGATTAATGTGGTTATATGCAGAGATTTTGGCATCAGAGGTTTTAAATTCATGTTGTGGCCCTACCAGTCTGCAAGGCTGGACTTTTGGTGTTCTCTCTGAGTTCTGATGTCCTCTTGTCTAATATGGACTTGCACAGTACTCCAAACATGATAGCTGAGATATTGGAGCAAAACTACCAGATGTCCTTTCCCCTGATAATTATCTAATGCCAGTTTTTTCTTCCTCTTTTTTTATGCTGTATAAAAAGAACTACCACCCATATTTAACATAGTACTGGAAGCCCTAACCAGAGCAAGCAGGCAGGAGAAAGAAATTAAAGGTATCTAGACAGGAAAAGACTCTTCACAGGTAATGTAATTCTATACTTAGAAAACCCTGTCAAAAAACCCCTTTCACTGATAAATGACTTTGGTAGAGTCTCAGGATACAAAATCGATACATAAAAATCAGTTGCATTTATATACACCAACAACAAGCAGGCTGAGAACCAAATAAAAAACACAATCCCATTCACAACAGCTAAAAAAAAATTCCTTGGTATTAATCCAACCAAAGAGGGACAGATTATTACAATGAGAACTACAAAATATTGTTCAAACAAATCAAAGATGATCCAAACAAATGGAAGACATCTCACAGTCATGGAATGGAAGAATCAATAATACCAAGTTGTCCATTCTACCCACAGTAATCTACAGATTCAATGCAATCCCTGTCAAACTACCATGCAATATTTTTCACAGGCCTAGAAAAAATAATACTTAAATTTATATGGAAGCCAAAAAGAGCCTGAATAGCTAAAGCAATCCTCAGTAAAAAGAACAAAGCTGGTATCACCACACTCCCAGAATTCAAACTTTACTACAAGTCTGCAGTAACTAAGACACCATGGTACTGATACAAAAATAGACACATAGACCAATGGAACAGGATAGAAAACCTAGAAATGCAATCACAGATCTTCAACAACTCATCTTTGACAAAGCCAGCAAAAACCAACCGTGGTGAAAGGAAACCTTATTTGGCAAATGGTTGTGGGAAAACTGACTAATCACATGCAGAAGAATGAAACTGGACCTCACCTATAACCATATACAAAAACTTACTCAAAATGGATCAAAGACTTAAACGTGAAATCTCAAATTATGACAACTTAGAAGAAAATTTAGGGAACACCCTCCTGGTCATTGGATAAGGCAGTGCATTCACAACCAAGTCCTCAGAAGCAAATGTGACAAAACCCAAAATTGGCAGGTAGGACTTTATCAAGTTCAAAAGTTTTGCACAGCAAAATAAGCCATTAAAAGAGTAAAGACACAACTTGCAGAATGGGTAAAAATATTTGTGAGCTATGCATCCAACAAGGCCTAATATCGAGGATCTATAGGGAATTCAAACAAATTGGCAGGACAAAAACAAAAATTAAAAGAAAAACATTAAAAAGTGAACTAAGGACTTGAACAGACGCTTCTCAAAGGAAGACGTCTAAGTAGTCAACAGATATATGAAAAAATACTTAGCCTCACTACTCATCAGAGAAATGCAAGTCAAAACTACAGTGAGATACCATCTCACACTGGTTAGGATGGTTATCATTAACGGTAAAAAATGAAAGGTGTTGGTGAAGATGCAGAGAAAAGGAAAGGCTTCTACGCTGTTGGTGGGGATTGGAAGCTTGTTCAGTCTTTGTGGAAAACAATATGGCATTTTCTCAAAGAACTAAAAATAGAGCTACTGTTCAACCCAACAATCCCACTTCTGGGAATATACCCAGAGGAACATAAATCATTCTACCAAAAAAGACGTCTGCATGCGTATGTTCATTGCAACACTTTTCGCATTAGCAAAAACATGGAACCAACCCAGATGCTCATCAAAGGTGGACTGGATACAGAAAATGTGACACACATACATGATGGAATACCACACAGCCATAAAGAAGAACAAAATCATGTCCTTTGCAGCAACATGGATGCAGCTGGAGACCATCACCCTAAGTGAACTATCACAGAAACGAAAACTAAATACCACAAGTTCTCACTCATGTATGGGCACTAAATATTGGGCACTTGGGCACAGGACAGGAGCAGCAGATACTGGGCACTGTTAAAGAAGGAAGGAAGGGAAGAGGCATAAGGGACTCAAAATCACCCAATAGGTACCATCCCCGCTATTGATAGGGGTGGGGAGTAGGGGGGTGTTGGAATCCAAACCTCGCCTTCACACAATATACTTATGTAGCAAATCCTCACCTATGGAAGAAAACTGCTGTCAACTTTACACTTCTTAGCAATCATATTCAAGTTAAAGAATGTCTTAGTCCCCAGCTCTGAAATTCTATGATTCTAACTCTGTAATAATATATCTATTATGATATATTATACATTATAGGAGACAAGCAGACCATATTATACTATACATCAGATATCCAGGGGAGTAGGAGAAATTGGCAGGGTCATCGGCAGTTTGAGCAGAAACCGACTTGGGTGATTTAAGTGAAAAACATCAAAAATGGTTGGAAGAACATGGGGGTGCCTCATGGAGCAGAGTGAAAAGCTGAGTAAGCAGATTTTGGAAGGGATAGAAGCCAAGGCAGCCTCCCCGGGGCAGCCTTCCCAGGGTAGCCTTCCCAAGTCAGCCTCCACAGGCTGCTCTGTCAGTATCTGTCTGTCTCAATCATTTTCACCTTTGTATCTTGCCTCCAAGATTCAAATATACCCAGAAGCTGATTGACTGAGCTGGGGTCACGTGACTTCCTCTTGGTCAAAAGGGGCAGGGCACCTTGACTGGCAATTCCATCCCAACTTCCTGCAGTCAGAAAGGGATGGCCCTCAAGCGAGTCAAGGGAGATATATGGATTAGGTACCAAGAGAAAGGGAAGAACGACAGAGTGCTCACTCAACAAATACAGAACTTAGTTCCATTTATTTGATATTCTGGGAAAAGCCAAACTAGGAATGGAGGCCAGAATAGTGATTGCTAGGGTTTGGGGTGGGACGAGGACTTGATCACAAAAGGGAAGTATGAGGGGGTTCTCTGGGGCGATGGAACTTTTTTGTGTCCTGATTGTGATGGGGTCACATGTGTGTTAAACCCCATCAAACTGTTCTCTAAAACAAGAGTCAATTTTGCTGTATGTGACTACACGTAATAGTAAAATTAAGATACAAATTCATTATGAAGTTGTTTTAAATTTCTAACCCCTTACTCCTTAAGCTGCTGATTTAAAAAAAATCCGGAGGATTCACATAATGACTTTTTTTTTTTTTTGCAACAGTACTTAGAACTTCGATTTAATAAATATGTTCGTCTCTGTGGAACAGTCCTCTTCATTGTTCAAACAGTAAGTAGCTCTCCATTAATTTATTTTATTATTTGTCATCTAAAATGCTTTAAACTGTGGCATCTGAGTTAAACTTACCTGGGAAACACATGAGAGATACAAAAGAGATGTTGGAAATATGAGGAAGCAAAAAAAAAAAAAAATCACTTGTCACTACACAGAATTAACAGTTAAGATCACTAAGCAGTGGTTCAGTAAAAGCTGCTTCCTGGGAAAACAGAATCTTTAAGTGAATGTTAAGTTTGACAGCTCAAGCAATTTCAGGAAAATATACTTCCCCTTATCCTACTTCCTCCAAGGTAACAGTAGGGGCATTACCAGATGACACAGATATTTGAGGGAGCTATTATAGCTGATAGTAGGAATTCTAATAAAAGGAAAACATGTTGCATGTTTCACAGTCTTTTTGCAATATGTTGAGTAATCGACATTACTCAAATGAACTGAACCAGCCTGAAATCCCATGCCTTGGGAGGCTGAGATGAGTGGATTGCCTGAGCCTGTGGATTCGAGACCCGCCTGGGCAACTTGGTGAGACCTCGTCTCTACAATAAATCAAAAAATTAGCCGAGCATGGTAGCTCGCGCCTGTAGTTCCGGCTCCTGGAAGGCTGAGGCGGAAGGATCGCCAGATCCCAGCAGGTCAAGGCTGCGGTGGCCGGGAACGGCCACTGCACTCCATTCTGGGCGGCAGAGTGAGACGCCAACTCAAAAATAATAATAATAATTTTCTGTTTGAAAACATACTTTAAAAATCAGTGCTCTTTTAAAAATTGACCTATAATGCCCAACTGAAGCAGACACTCAGAGTGTAAAACAACAGAATCGTAAGTTCTAGAGGAGTCTTTAAAGCCAAATACTTAATCTAGTAATTCAAGAATACACACATACAGATTTGCTGATTGACACAAAAGGAGGGCAAGGATTTGCCAAGTGGCCAGTGACAGAGAATGGTAATGGCCATCACATGTCATTTTTATAGATCTTCCTCTTGGCAGTTAAGCACATCAGAGCTGGGTTTGGTAATCGAGGTTGAGGAAGGGGTTTTTATTCTCATTTCTAATTACAATTCCATTTTGCTCATCAAGAGCTACTTAAGAGCTATTTGCTGCAGCAAGCCTTTGTAAATTATTAAACTCGACTCCATTTTATATCTTTTTAAATCACATGACTTAGATTTCATCAATCTGTAATAATTGCGGTATAAAGGGAAGCGGCCCTTTAGGGTCTGGTAGAGATTCTGCCGGAGTTGAGCCTGGTGACCCGAATTTGTCAGCTGTTCAGACCTTCTTTGTATCTTTGTCAGAAATGCCAACAGGAATGAGCAATAGAACGAGTGTTAGGAAGGTGGCCTGCAGTCATGCTTTTAAATATTCAACATGGATAGAATAATGACTGGAAAGCTGGCTCATTTTTTCAAAAAGAGGGAAGCTGTAGCATCTCCTAAAAGAAAGACTTCCACAGCTCCACCCATGTAATACAATCATACATTCAAATACTACTCAATATGTTCTTATTTTCATACTATGTTTTACAGAATAATCATGGAATTAACTTCAATGTGATGTATTTGAAAGATCAGATGCAATGAAAACAGTATTTTGAGAAAAAGACCACATCTCACTGTTATACCCCAGATCAATTAATATTTGTTGACTGTATAAATGAAAATAAGAAATAAAAGTAAAAAGGTGGAATACAGTTTTTGTTTGCTTTCAGAAGTTTTTAAAGTGCAAATTTATGCTTTTGTTTAATTAATGAACATGCGAGCTTTTAAAAACCAGTTTTTCACATTTTTTACTTTTTTCTCAATTAATTATGCAGTGATTAACAGTAGTTCAAATAGGATTTGAACTATTGATTCATATATGATTGAGGAGTCTTCCGCTCTTAAATTAATATTCTTTCTTTTTTCATAATTGATTTAGATCTAAGAAAATTTTTTTTCAAGCTAGAGTTGGTGGATCAGTGACCATCTGCATTAAGCATCACATAGAAAGTCCCTATTTTTTACATAAAGTTAGTCATAAAAAAAGTTTGTAACCTAGGACTACACCATAAACAGAAAAGAAGAATCAACTTTACTTAAATAACATTTTTCAAGTTAAAAATAATTTTATTAAGTTTATTATCACGGCTGTTTTAATTTGGAATTGAAGTTGCAGGAAAAAAATAGTATTTTTTTAAAACTTATGCACATAATTTATGAATTTTATAACTCATATACTACATTTGGCTTTCTTTCCTCCCCTAGATTCTGTATACCGGAATTGTTATTTATGCTCCTGCCCTGGCTTTGAATCAAGGTACATTTTAGAGTTGCCAATTAGGTAACTCATATTCTGGGGGTCACTTTCTTTTTTTTTTTTTTTTTAAGTTGGAGTCTCACTCTGTTGCCCAGACTGGAGTGCAGTGGCCGCTTCCGGCCACCGCAGCCTCAACCTGCTGGACTCCGGAGATCCTTCCTCCTCAACTTTCCAAGTAGCCGGAATTACAGGCATGTGCTACCATGCCCGGCTGATTTTTTGATTTATTGTAGAGATGGTCTCGCTGCCCAGGCGGGTCTCAAACCCGTGGGCTCAGGCAATCCACTCACCTCAGCCTCCCAAAGGCGTAGGATTACAGGCTGAGCCACTGAGCCCGGCTTGGGGTTCACTTTCAATAGGCCTTCTTTTCTCCTTGAGGGGTGGGAAGAGGAGGAACGCCAGGGGGTAGGTGGGCTCAGTGTCTGCGCTGGCTGCTTTGGGTTTCCAGTCAGTGAGTTCCAAAGTGTTCTAGAGGAGCAGGAGAGCAGACCTCGTGGGGGCTTCTCTGGGATGTGCCTACCAGAAGTTCTTGGTTCTTCCAGGATGTACGCCCCCCCTACATTCGACCCATGGATGACGGCGCTACTTCCATTTTTTTTTTATATTCCTTTCCCTTTATTGTCATAGTATTGAAAAATTGTATAACACATGAAATCTTTACCAGTGTCTCACATCCATGCATCAACCTGCATACAAGAACACAACTATATCTGAACTTGAGGTTAAAGAAGTCATGCCTAATAATGTTCCAGATCCCCAGTCACAAACATGTCACCTCACTGTGACCTTCATAATCCCTATGATAGGTTCCTCTGATCAATATAGCAATGGTTGTCTTCCTCTTTTTAAAAGTTTATATCTAGCCGGGCTCGGTGGCTCAGCCTGTAATCCCGTGCCTTTGGGAGGCTGAGGTGAGTGGATTGCCTGAGTCCGCGGGTTCGAGACCTGCCTGGGCAGCGAGACCTCATCTCTACAATAAATAAAAAAATCAACCGGGCGTGGTAGCGCATGCCTGTAATTCTGGCCACTTGGAAGGCTGAGGCGGAAGGATCGCCGGAGCCCAGCAGGTCGAGGCTGTGGTGGCCAGGAGCGGCCACTGCACTCCAGTCTGGGTGACAGAGTGAGACTCCAACTCAAAAAAAAAAAAAAAATTAAAAGTTTATATCTTTATTCCTTCACTTACTTTCCAAACCCCAGTTCCTCATCAATGAATTCAACCCACGAACAAAAAAACTATTTCTTTTTAGTTTCACTTGGGAATTTAAACACTGCTGCTCATTCAGGCCCTGCCCTATGCATGTATTCACCCATGTATTTATCCAACAAATGTCTATTCAGTGCCAACTACAGGCTAGGCACTGTTGCTGGTGGCACAATGATGAATAAATTGGAGAGAGTAGAGGACCTCACAGAGATTATAGTTTAATGGGAGACTAACACAAGTTAAGAGGTAATTACAATACAGTCAGTAACTATATGCTAAGGGAATCACTTAGTGCTAAGATGGCAGAAAATAGAGTCATCCAACCCTGGTTGAGAAGTAAGTGCAGAGACCCCTGAAGTATGACTAAGTGTTGAAAGACAAAGTATAAGGGGAAAATGGGGAGAGAAGAACATAGCAAGAACCTGGAACCAACCATGCTGTCCATCAAAAGAGGACTGGATTAAAAAAAATATGGTACACATACACGATGGAATACTAGCAGCCATAAAAAAGAACAAAATCATGAATTTCACAGCAACCTGGATGGAACTAGAGTCTATAATACGGAGCAATCGCTCACAGAAACAAAGATCTGAGTATCACATGTTCTCACTCATATAGTGGACCATGAACATTTATCGTAATACTATAAGAAAAGGATTGACAGTGGTGGGAAACTATGAGGGGGGGGAAGGGAAGTGGGATTAACGGTAGTAAATATCTGTCTGGGGACGGGGAAACACCCCTTATCAACAAGGGCACCTGAACAATGCATATTTGTATACCTAGCCCTTAACTGTACCCCACAATTTTATTTATTTATTTATTTATTTTGAGTTGGAGTCTCACTGTCGCCCAGACTGGAGTGCAGTGGCCGCTCCCAGCCACCG